TGAAGCGCCTGGCGTGTCTGCTTGCTCTGCCGCAGCCGAGAGAGGTAAAACCCCTGCGTCGACTGAGCGGCACAGGAATCCGCACGGCTGCGGTGGGACCGTTTCTACGTGGTTATTTTAAACAGCCCCCCACGACGCTGCGGCTGAGACACCCGACTCAAACGACGCCGTCACTTTACACGAGCACGGGGGTGTATTCTGCTCCGGGGTGGCGGGTGGTGCCTCTCCCAGCTTCCCCTGAAGCACAGACTGCCCCAGCTGGGGGTCAGCTCTTTGCACCTGTGTTTACAGGTGAAAGCTCGACTCCAGATCAGCCAGCGGGATTCTCATTCACCGACAGACCAGAAAACACCCAGAGTGGCTCCTCGGGGGCCAACAGCCTGGCACCATAGCAAGCAAAAGCCCAATTCAGCCCAGGTGCTGGGCTCAGGAGCCCTGGGAAACAGAGGCAGACCAAGCACTCGGGACCTTTCACCTCTCGCCTGGAAGACCACACTTCATTTCCCCTCCCCCGCGGCACCCAAGAAAAAGGAAGAATTGTTACAGGCTGGGGACCGACTGGCTAAGCAGCAGTTCAGCAGAAAAGGCCCTGGGGATTCCAGTGGATGAGAAGCTGGAGAGGAGTCAACAGGGGGCCCTTATAGCCGAGAAGGCTAATGGCATATTAGGGTGCAATAGGAGGAGCATTGCCAGCAGATCTAGAGAAGTGATTATTCCCTTTATTCAGCTCTGGTGAGGCCACATCCAGAGTACTGCATCCGGTTCTGGGCCCCCCTCTATAGAAAGGATGTGGACGCATTGGAGAGGGTTCAGCGGAGGGCAACCAAAATGATTAGGGGGCTGGAGCGCATGACCTATGAGGAGAGGCTGAGGGGTTTGGGCTTAGTCTACAGAAGAGAAGAGTGAGGGGGGATTTGAAGCCTTCAACTTCCTGAAGGGAGGTTCCAACGAGGATGGAGAGAGGCTGTTCTCAGTGGGGACAGATGACAGAACAAGGAGCAACGGTTTCAAGTTACACTGGGGGAGATCTAGGTTGGATATTAGGAAAAACTATTTCCCTAGGAGGGTGGGGAAGCGCTGGGCTGGGTTCCCTAGGGAGGGGGTGGAATCTCCATCCCTAGAGCTTTTTAAGGCCCGGCTTGACAAAGTCCTGCTTTAGGCAGGGGGCTGGACTTGATGACTCCTGAGGTCTCTTCCAGCCCTGGGATTCTATGATCTCCCTCCCGGCATAGAGCGGGTTTGATCTCATTTAGCTGGAAAGATCTAACGAGATCACAGCACAAGAGGGACCCGGCCTTGCCGGCAACGGGTCCATCCACGCTGTGAGTTGCTGCATCTGGCATTGCAGGGCCCCGGGCACCCTAGGCCAAGACTCACCTTCAGGTCAAAGTGCGCTATGCGCTTGGAATGCAAATAGTGGACCCCGTCCAGAATCTGCTTGAGGAACTGGGTCGCTTCCTCCTCCGTCAGGGACTCCTTCTCGGCCAGGAAGTCAAAGAGCTCGCCGCCTGAGACCAGCTCCAGGATCAGCACCACGTCAGTCTTGTTTTCGAAGATGTCGTGAAGCGTGATGATGTTGGGGTGCTGGATCTCCCGCAGGATGTCCACCTCCCTCTGGATCTCCTCCCGGCTCACGCCCCGCCGGCTGGACGACAGGCGCCGCTTCTTGATGAACTTGGCCGCGTACTCGAGGCCGCTGGACTTCTCCCGGCACTTCCGCACGATGGCGAACTGGCCACTGCGGAGGGGAGGGGGACACCTCAGTTAGTAAGACGGCCCCTCTCAGTGTGAGCACTGACCCCCACCTGGAGCGACCACAGTATGGCAGCTACCGTCTGCTCATCTCTAAAGAGCCCTCCCATTTACACAGTTCCCTTCTGAGAAGGGTGCCGCTCCTTACAGAGCCAGGCAGCTGGCCAAGCCCTGAGCCTCTGCCTCCTCCATGCACCACTTGAGCAACTCAGGGAGCGGGGGCTCTGAAACGCCCCTTTCTTCAAGCGCCCATGGTGGCCGAACCGACCGACGCGCTGCCACGCCCAGTGAGATCCAGCGCCCGGGGGTTGTCAATAGGTGGAGCGTCAGAGGCAGGCGCAGGAATACACCACCGCGACGTGCCACAGTGCAGGCAGGGCGAAGGAGCGAACGCCCCTCCAAGCCGCAGCTGGAGTTCAACGAACATCCTAGAGCGCAACACTGGACGCCCCTGGCTGACTTTACCCCCATTACCCCACTGCGGTAGCTATTCTGATTCATACGCATCCCGGCTCTTCCCCGAAATGTCGTCAGCCGCCCGGGCCGCAGGAAGCACAGCACGGCAGGAGCGTGACGATGATGCGTCAACATTGGTGCAATATCCTGCTGATGCAACACTGCACGTCACGAGGCTCCATGCAGAGTGCCCCACGCATGGCAACCACAGTGGTCCCTTCTGGCCTTCAAAGCAATGAAGGTTCAGAAAAGGGCAGCAAAAACGATGAGGGGTTTGGAGCAGGTCCCATATGAAGAGAGATTTAAAAGATTTGGACTTTTTAGCTTAGAAAAGAGACTAAGGGGGGGGATATGACGGAGGGCTTTAAAATCATGACTGGTGTGGAAAAACTGAATAAGGAAAAGTTATTTACTTATTCCCACAATGTAACAACTATGGGGTCACCAAATGAAATGAATAGGCAACAGGTTTAAAAACAAACAAAAGGAAGTTTTTCTTCACGCAGCGCACAGTCAACCTGTGGAACTCCTTGCCAAAGGATGTGGTGAAGGCTAGGACTTTAACAGGGTTCCAAAAAGAGCTAGATAGATTCATGGAGGTTAGGTCCACCAATGGCTATTAGCCAGGATGGGTAGGAATGGTGGCCCTAGCCTCTGTTTGTCTGGAAGGGAGAGGAATCGTGTGAGAATTCCCTGTTCTGTTCCCTCCCTCTAGGGCACCTGGCATTGGCTGCTGTCAGCAGACAGGACACTGGGCTAGATGGACCTTTGGTCTGACCCAGTCTAGCCATTCTTATGTTCTTAACCCAACGGCTCGAGCGTGCCAGCCTCCGTTGCAGAGCGCCCCACGAGGCCAGCTTGCTGGGGAGGCGTGTCCCTGTGCAAATGAACCAGAGCCCCGGGGCTGTAATGCCTAGCGCTGACAGACCTCTTCAGATTTGCAAGCACTTCGCGAATACTACATCGGAAACACACGCTCCCGCCCGTGATACATTCTGTGTCACCACCATTGGGCGAGCAGGAAAAGCGAGGCTCCGAGAGGTTAAGTTATTGACACATAGCGTCACCAGCAGAGTTTAAAAAAAACCAAAACCCACAGACCCAAGGGTGTCCTGAGCCCCAATACCTTGATCTACCCACTGGACAATACTGCCTCTGGAAGTTATTGTTCCAGGATCCCGGCCATGTGTTAATAGGGCTGAGAGCCACTGAACCAAACTGTAAGATCTGTACGTAATGGAAAGCACTTCAAGTCTGGGGGTGCTGCATTCCCACACCCCTAGTTGCAGCATCTATGTAGGGGGCCCCTTTCCTAGATTTAGGTGCATTTCTTCCCTTCATGGAAGAATTAAAATACACTC